AGATCCAAGTGTGAGAGAAAGAAAAGAATGAGAGTAGTTGATCACGGCTCGCCCTTACAAAAGTTTTTTTAGAAAATAATCTCAAATGCTTGATGATATTTTTCAAATTTTTTGATGCCGCTGTGAGAAGTGTGTTTTTAAACACGGGCTGAATTTTTCACTAAACAAAATTAACATGACTGGCGCTCGGCACGTTTTTCGTTTGGTAGGTGATTTCCGTTTTCTATTCTAACCGCCATCGTCAGCAGAACCCGGAACTCCTTGCATACTTGTCCTGCATTTCTGGTAATGTTGGTGGTCAGAGTGCGGTAGGGCAGCATGCTCTCATTCCTACATTCCCTCCTCATTACACCACATGACATCACCATGGTATGACGTCATGACTACATCCCATGACGTCATCACAGCACCTCGTCAGGCAACGAGGGTGCTGCACTTGGGTCAGACCGGAGGTGATGTTTTTGGAGGGTCCGTATCAGGATGTGATAGTCTGGGGTAGTAGACCTCCGCTAGACCTCCATTAGATCTTAACAACACCCTCTGTAATAGACCCTGTGAGTAGAGTTCCTATGTTCAGGGTCTGGATCAGGAGGAAGATAGTGGTGTACCTAAGCTACCTTGTAACTGGGGGAGGGTGTGACAGGGTCTGTCTGAACTACAAGCTGACATTGTCCGGCACTAACCCAACTAAATCTCATTATTCTATTGAACCAACTCCTTCTTCTCCGACTGATTTTCTCAGCATTTTTGGTTAAATCCCTTCTGATACCCGACACTGATTCACAGCTTGGTCATGTGACTGGTGGAAGCCAATCAGAAGTCAGTATTCCCGCACGTGCAGCTGCTCCCGACCAATCAGGAAGAGGGAGAGTCTAAAGAGACTGCTTCCATCTAAAAGATTACCTCACCGCCTCGTGACGAAAGGGCTAATCTTTTCACATGGGTCGGCTAACCAGGGGGTTTTGTGAAATGCAGCAGAATCAGGGTAGTTAGGATTTCATGTCAAATCTCATCTCCGGGCAACATTAGACAATGGGTGTGGGGTCTATAAACCATCCGATTTTCAGATGTTTAGTCAATGTGATAACCATGTAGTGGACGTGTTAGTTCAACCATTAACTCAGACTTTAACAGCTGGTATTGTTATCTAACTCGTTCCGGCCACAAGGTGGTAAAGTTGCCTTAAGTTGCTCTTTAACACAAGTTTTAGGTCCAATTTGGGAGTTGGGTATCCAATTTCCCGTGGCCTAACTCCACAGTTTCACTGCTTGAACTCTTCGCTTAGACCTACTCTAAATACAAATAGTCCGCAGTATTTTCTGTTACCAGCGTAGTTTGCGATTCATATTTACCTAATTATAATTGCTTTACGCCCGTGCTCCGGTTTTCTTTGAAGCGTTAGCTGGCTGATGGTTGACAACAGGAGAATAATGATATTGAGCTGATAGGAGTTCCAGTCAAAGTGCCCCATGTTAAGCGCCCCACCAGCCAGCCCCTTGCACCCTACTGCCCCCAACTACACCAATAAGACTAAGCTTAATTAAGTACTGATACTGTTAATTCTTCCCCCATGAGATCATGATCTTTTTTGCTGTGAAAATGACGACTTTCTTTCAGCCTGTTTTCCGTGTTGCAAGTAAAAGTAACTTTGCAGCGGGTGTAAGGTAGTTAAGTTTGTGGGGAGTCAAGCGCTGCTGCACCCTGTTACAAGTTATCTTGGGACGTAACGTGGTGAAGTGACCACGTGATTTATTAACGACAGATCACGTGAGTCCACAGCTCCGTTATCTCGGTATTGGCCTGGTGAACCAAGTGCAGATCGTGGTGCCCAGACCTCTCTCTTCTGACCAACTATTTAATATTTATCTTCTTCACTTTGTCAGCTGTCAAATCCCCGGCCCTCAGATTAAAAGTTCTGCAAGCCCCTACTTGTAACGGGGTTGACATTGCAATTCATTACGCAGTAGGGTCATGTGGTGTCCCTGTTCAAGAAGATTGACCACACAACCTCCCTTACTATCCCTCTAATAGCTCGGCTAACTGCACCGTTTTTTGTTAATTATCTTGAATTAGTGCTCTCTGATCCGGTTTTTATTCTCTTGTCACGGGACAAGTGCCTTGTTTTTACTGTGCAGCCCTCTCCCCGCATTATTGGAGGAGAAACAATCAGCTCTGCCACGTGACACTCAGACCTTCAACCCTCGTGACTCGTAATTAGTTAAATTCGGGTCACGTGTCTTGCCCTGAACCAATAGCAGGGCCGGGGTGGTGGCACGTGCGCCGTGATTACCAATGAGATGGGGACCGTCAACCAGTTGAGTTTTGGTTGTACTTACAATCTAGTAGTCATGACAACTGACACGTGTGCGAGGTAGCAGGTAACAAACAAGCTAAATTAATTGAAATTTTAGTCTTGGTAATCATCCGATTCAGCCGATTAGACCTCCACATTTATACCCTCCAATCGCGTGGCTCCTGCGAACCTTGAGAGCCATTCAGAGCTTAGTACGCGCCCACGTGCACAGTTCAACCAATGACGGGCACTTAAAAATTAATACTAACGGTCACGCGACAACCAAGAATTTCTACTCAGTTAAAGTACTGCGTTTTTTACTCGGTCCCTACTTCGTGGTTTTACTTGTTGGGCTCCATATCACCTCTAGGAGCCTCGAAAAGAACATCTGACACAGTAACACTGTGGTGTTAGTCCACCACTACTACCAACACTATCAGCTCGTACAATACCAGAATCCTTTTGACACAATCAACTTTCGTCACGTCCCTTATAGTTATAACACAATCTTATCACCACAACACCATCTTATCACCACAACACAATCTTATCACCACAACACAATCATATCACCACAACATAATCTTATCACCACAACACAATCTTATCACCAGGACATTCTGCCAGTCAAATAAGAATATCCGTGGTGTTTGGGAGCGCAGGAACCTAGTCTTAGCTACAATCATTCTAAGTTGAAGCCAAACTTTCCTCAGAGTTCCTTAGACAACTCATCCCCTCGAAGTATCTAATATCCCCGAAATAGATCGATGATCTGATCGGTATTTGCATCATCTAAAAGCCCGTCATTCTTGATCACAACCCTTCCTTCCTCCTCAAACACATCCTGATTAGAATGTAACGACTTCCTCACCGCGGGGTGGTGCTCATCAGGTGACCCTGTAGTGGGTGTCCCTGCCTGACCAGGGTCTAGACCTGTCTCGTGAAACAGTGTGTCTGGGCTGGTATCATTGTTACCACATGAACACCACCCTAAGGTCGAAACAATGTAGTGATTTGACAGGTTTCCAGTTGGATCACTTGGCATGGTATCTGTTTAGGTGGTTCACTTGACATGATATCTGTCAAATGCCTCATGTGCAATTAACATGCAGATCTTATTATTACCCTCGAGATACCTTTGCGGAGTTATGTATTGTCTTATCAACGAACCCGATAAATATAATTTTCCCTCTTTTCATCCTTAATTCTGTGATTTTCGATTACAAATCGACTTGCTTTCCGTCCGTCTCTCAGTTACTCATGTTACGTTATCCATTATTTAGTGATGCGTATTATGATAACCAACCCAGCGACTACAATCAATAGTTTTACTGGTTACCATGACAACAAGATCCCACCATCAATCTGTCACGATGTCATTTTTAACGTTTAACGAGCGCGCTTAGGAAATATATTTTTAATTAATGATTATACTCATCAACCATTAGTTTCCAGCCATCCTATTGGCTCATCTCCGCCCACGAGTTGTCAACAAACGCTGCTGGTTGGCTCTCCCGGGTCATGTGACCCGCTGTCGAGCTCCGGATTGGCGTGACGATTTGTCTGGTGAAAACCATGTTTCAGTTTACGCAACAAATTGATTTCCTGATCCAACCGTGATTATAACACCTTTTCGTGAAATCCTCTGCAAAGTTATTTTCCCTTCGCTTGTGAAGGGTATTTTTGTGGGAATGTGTCAGGATTTTCCTCCACTAATAGCCTGCAATCGTGTGAAAGTTATGACTTTCTCTCTCCTCTCCTCGACCTGATATTTGAAAACTTGCTTCTATCTTACTAGATTTAACCATTACCAACAGGTCTAATATTGGTGACCGACTTGAGCACTCTCGTAGCGTTGCTAAACCAAACGTTTATCTTAAATTGATTTCCGGACTTCTCACCGCCAGATTTTTGGTATTATTTCCAACCAACCTTTCCTAACCTTTGATTGGCCAGCTACTTGACACGTGACTCGATTAAAGCTCCATATTGGCCACGTTGAAGTACCATACAAATCGTCGAATCCGAATTGAGCTGGGGTTTTTGTCGCCTCCTCTGCAAAGTTATTTTTTGTCGCCTGTTTCCAATACTTGTGGTCATCTCATTGCAGGAGAATCTACAGCCACAATGCATCTTCAACTTTGAAGCTATAAGATTTGCATTACAAACCATTATTCCTCCACACCAAAACTCTTATATTAGATCGCAAACCTTTTTTGTGTTACTTTTTGTATGTGATTTTTTCAAGAGAAAGAGACGTCTTTCTGCGCTATGATAGCGGTGTTGTAGTAGTTCTTGGACTCGCTCCTGCTCAATGCTCACTAAACTTTTACAACTCTTACCTTCTCCTTAGTTTTTAGGAGTTATTTAATTCCTGATCTAATGAAGGAAAAGCGGGATATATAATTATTATTAATGGGTACATATTTTGATCTTTATAATTCGATTTATCAGTCACGGCACCTTGTGTCCTGAGGCTGTGTTGTGAGTGACGTACAAAAAATTATTACCTTTTTAGTGTCTTGGTGTAAATCTATTGTTCCCATCAACTTACAGGCTCGGCAATTTCGGATAACGTAGAATTTGAGACAAGTGTCGATAACATATTGTTTACCTGTAATTTCGTGGGAAATTCGTCATTATGAAGGAGTAACGGTTTGTATTACGAAGGAGTAACTGTTAATTAACCGTTTGTTATCTTGATCAGGTATGACACAAATCGACAGCACAGCACAAACCGATCTTGGTATCAGCGACCACGAGGAACTGTTACTGCCCTACAAGGTAAGAAAACTGTGCTTTGATGATCAGTTATTTCATGTCACGTGGTCTCAATACTAAGCTGTGATTGGTTAAAAAAGTCTTACTACCCTATGGTTGTAAGGTAGCATTTAACTGAATTATATGGTCGCCTTCTTTAAAAATCTTCATTCGATTTTTTCGTCGGAAAACTTTGTCTTTTTAAATGTCTTAAATCACTAACGGTGAGTCATAAAGAATTTGTGTTCAGTCCAAAAAACTAGTATTTCCATCATTATTGGCCGGATCATTATCCCAATTCGATCAGAATGATATTCAGATTTAATTAAGGTACTGTGACGGTATAAGCCATGGCATGCTCCATCTCGTAAATACACCAAGTATCAGGGGCTAGAGAGAGAGAGAGAGAGAAAGAGATCAATAAGCTAATAAGAAAGTAATGCAGTTACCACAGTATATTGTATCATGTAATTCCCACGTTCCGGGCTTGGTTTAACAAGGAGATAACTACATGGACCCCCTATACAAGGCGCAAATTGGTTCCAATTCCAGACAGAGTCCCCCTCTCGGTCGGAGGTGTGGTGTTGGTTTCGTCATACCACATTACACAACAACCTAGATCAGGTTCTAAATCATGCTGTACAGGCACCGCTCAAATTAGCTCATCCGGTCATATCAGGGCACCAATGAGGCAATAACTTCCCAAAATAACGCACATTTCATGTAAAAACAGAGAGCCGCGTCTAACAGCCTGCCAAGTTTCCGTGTCGAGGCACCATGACGTGACTTTGTCATTTTTCTTTAAATTCTATTAACTTCTGAGTAGGGATCAATACAAGAGCACTGTTGTTAGAGGCACTATTATTTTGTGTGCGTTCTACTTATTTCTTTAAATTTGTCCTCCGATATAACGATATTGGTATCATTTGCTCTTTCGTTCGACTCCATACTCCGAATTAGTCTGTTGAATATGTTAACCGAACATTTTGAATTTGCTGAGTACTATAAAATGGTGGGTTTTGTGGATGTTCAGATTTACTTTGCAAAGTTATATTTCTTTTCTTTCTTCTCTCTAGTTAGATTAATCAGTCGTTCCATTTCGCGTCGTCATGAGAATTAGCTCGAAGATGCAGAAAAATTGGGGCTTTTTAATTCTAATTAGTCATTTTATATAAAGAGATTCTCAAAGGAAGCTTTTAAAGATAAGTGAGGGATTCATTCGAACAATGGTACCGGGTATTGAACATTCTTTGAGACCAAAATACGGCGCGCCTTGAGTGTGTGAATTAAATTCAAATCTCGGTTGGGATTCAGGGATTACTCAGTTTTATTGATCTTCACAAAGGTGGCTCCGACTGTAAAATTTCAATTTTTAACGATTCATTGCTGATTATTCTAACCCTACCCCGGTTAATCTCATATCAAAAACGTGGGCACACAAAATTTGACAAAAAATTACCCAAGCTCCTTGACGTGTCTAGTGAAAAACAATAGTTTTCTTGCACCTGTCGACCAATCATCGTGCAGTATTCGATCAGAGAACTGATCTGGACCAACGAGACCGCAGGAATCCGGTCACGTGATTAGTTTGAATCGTCTGAGGCAGGTTTTAGTGTTCCCCATTATCCAGTTACCGGTCTCTCACTGCTCTCTTGTCACGGAGAAACATATATTTACTAATGTTCATAGAATCACACTAAAATATTTGTATGAATTCATAATTTGAAAATAGAATCTTATCATGCCGTGCACGGACGTGTTAAAAATCAAAGAATTGAAAATTAGTTGCCGGTTTTGAAAAACATTAATAATGTCACAGTATTTAGTACAAAGGACCGTAACGCTGGGAGGGATAAATTTAAGAAACAATGGTGTTGGTTGGACAACAAAAATGGGTTCCCCAAGTTGCTTTATATTTTTCACACGATACTGCAAAAAGTCAAGCAAAAAATGACAAGTTTATTTTAACTCTGACTAACTAAATCTTTTCTTCAGGCGATCTACTCGCAGCTCCTGGACACAATTCGCGAAGTTGTGACACAGACCCTGGATTCTGCCTACGGTACCGGGGCACCCCACATCACCACAGAAGTCCTGGAACTCGCCCTGAAGGACAACCTCAGCTCCTTCGTTGGCTCCCCCGAAAAGACTTCCATCATCCTGAAGAAAGAAAGGGTTGGAGGTGAAGCTAACTTGGATCCTAAGATCCTGAAGATGTTGCAGAACAACAGCGGTGTCCAGCAACAACCGGACATCTTCAACCAAACTACCAACCAGCTGCTGAAATTGATAGAGCTAAACTCCCTGAACTCTGACTTGAACAAGACTCAGAGCAAACCTTACGCCCAGTTCCTGGGCTACCCCAACTTACCTCTCCACAAAGTTAACCCTTACTCTAGTCTTCTCAACCAGCAAAACAATCTGTTTAAAGCGAGAGAGACCGCTCCAGCAGCCCCCTTCAACCCTGTCTCCAAACCCTTCACTCCCCCTCTCATTCCTTCTCTACAGAAACAGTTCCTAGCTAACGAACCAGCTGTAGGACCCAAGATATTCTCTCCTGGTGTTATCAAGAGCGAGGATACTAACAGGGTGTCACCAAGCAAGTCACCTCAACAAGCCTTTCACACCGGCACTGAGACAAAGAGCATCTTCTCCCCCAGTTCACCCTTCACTTCTGTGGCCGCCAGCAAATCTCAGACCATCTCCTCCTCCGCCAACTCGAGCCCTGTCTCCCTGGCTAATTCTCTACAACAGCTCCAGAATTCCATGTCTGGAGGCAACAGACCAATGTCCAGCACTGTTTTTACCCAGCAGTCTCACCTCAACCACCCCTCTCTGTCTCTACCTAGCAGTCTGAGCTCAGCTGCTCTCACCAACACCACCAACATGCTCCTCTCCAACGGCTCCAACCTCCTCAACAACTCTCCTGCAACTACCATGAGCAACATGGAGGTCCACCAGAACTTCATCAAGCAGATTAACCTGCTGAACCAGACAGCGCCCTCCATGCTCGGACAGAAGCTCGGCATTGCTGTGAGTATATTTACAGTTCCGGGCACTTTACAGTCGCTATAATGTTTTGTTAAACGCACTAATGTTCAATCAGTCACTTTTTGTCGACCTACCTTGAGTATTTTGATTGATTACACGACAGACTAAAATATTTAGGCTCTTAATTTTGTCATCAGAATTTGTCATGTTTATGTTCTCACTCTTAGAATTTCCCACAAAAATGTCCATACTTAACCCCCACTCGTCGCAGGGCCAAGACAAGGCAGCTAAGGATATTGAGAAAGTCCTAATGGACATTCAAGTGAACATGACAAACATCAAGCCAGACCCATGGGGCCAAGCTAAGGATAAGCTCTACAAGTGTCCCCACTGCGAGACTGCATTTGCTAGACGTCAATATCTCAGGTAAGATTTTATACACAAGGAAATGTTTCTTTTATATTGTACATTAAACAGTAAAATAAAAAATTTTTTCTGCACGATTCTCAACTCCGTACTCCGTTTCCTTCTTTCTTCAATTTGTACGTGAGCGAGTACATCTGGTCTGACATGTTTCATGAAGTCAACCATGTCTTAATCGGCTGTTCCGCCGAATTTACCATGAACAATAATGGATATGAAGGACTGGCCGTGCTAAGTAATGAGGCCCAAGTCGAGTCCTTAACTGATGTACCAGACTAAATCCTTAGTCCATCCACTCATCTTCCTCATCTTCTCCGACCAGCTTCACGTGAAGTAGTCTGAAGAGCACGTGAAGTCCGTCTGAAACCTGCCACCACACGTGAACACGCCATGATTTATCTGATCTATTCTCTCTGTGATATAGACATGACTTTTCTAAAAGCTGGACTGATGAGGCTAAACGGACCTTTGTTACTGAGTTCATTGTTAGAGGTAGCGTCTTTTTCGTAACATTTACCCGAGCTAAACTTTGTATAGCTCATTAGTTCTGCGGATCCTACCCTGTTAAAAGTGAGCAGAGTCTTTAGTGGACCTCATCAACTTTTATTGGGTTCTCTAAATCTGATCAGATATCACCCGACTACCGCCTGCAGCCTCATTATTCTCCGACCGTAGACGTAAACCATCTTCTGCATATTGCGAGAAACACGAGCTACCTTATAATAGTATACCATACTAATACTATCTGACATTATTGCGCCTGTCCATGACAGGAAGGATTATATTGATTTACCTGAATTTGATCACGTCTGAAAGGTTCAGAAAGGTAAAAGTGTCTTTTGTCTGTCTACGAAATGGCAGACGTTCCCGTATTTTGAGCATCGAACAGTGCCCATGACACACGCCAACTACCACCGGTCAATTAACCGGTTCACGAGGCCGGCCACCCACCAAATTCCACCATCTCTCTCCTCAGATCTAGACATAGATTTCGTTAGCGCTGGTAATTTTACCCAAAACTACTACGATTCTTCTGGACAGTACCCGGAAAAACCTAATCATTATTCTGGTAAATCGCGAAATTATATGTCTGGTAGCCGGGAGGTTGGTGGACAGTAGTACCCATCTGAGATAACCTCGTGGAGGCAGGAGGCGTTGTCAGGGAGAATTTTAGCTAAAAGTTGTCCTCATTAACTTTGGAGAGAGCAGAGAGTAGTCATTTTCGGGCTGTACTTAATCGATCTGTGCCTGTCATTAATCACCCACTAAAGAGCCGTTTTGAGGAAAATTTCCTCTAAAGTTGGTCTGTGATCATACCTCATTAGCTAGTAGAATACAAAAGATGATTACTGTAAGAGCGCACTAATTGCGGGTGAGTACTACTCCAATTCAGTGTTCCTGTGTCACGTGGGGCGCGCGTCATGTCACGTGGTACCTCCGTCATGTCACGTGACCCGCTAAATGGTTGCTTTTCTACTCCGTGGGGCCTCCGACCTGCTCTTCCCGTATATTTAGAAAATTACAACATGTTCCCTATGTGTAGCACGGTCTTCGTCGGACATTATCAATAGGCAATAAGAGGACTTTAATCATAGCTCGACCATTTATCGTCTATAATCCCAAATTATTTTATCCTCGTAATAGATTTCCGGCTGACCTAGGAAAACACGGGCCTCAAATTTCCCCTTTTTATTTAATAACGTAAGAACCCCACTAACCCTACCTTACCTTCAGTAACCACATTATAAACGTGCACAACTTGAAGACCTGTCCCGAGTGTAAGACTACTTTTTCCAACGAAGAAGCGTTTAACGCACATCTGGCAATGCACCCCAAGAAAGAATACGAGTGCGGGAGCTGTAACAAGAGTTTCAACAGTGTTTACCTCCTCAAAAACCACCGGTTAGTCGAGTGTATTATTTGCCGGTGATATAAAGCGAGTAGCCTGGTTCATTACCGGCTCATATACATTTAACCATGAATGTGATTTCTAACAATGTATGTGATTTCTAATATTACAACTGATATCACGTGACATATAATAAACCATCAGTACACTTGCAGTGGTTTGGTAATCGCAAATATCTTAGCGAGATTCTTTCCATGCTTTTAAAAAGACAAGTGGAATTAGCCGAGTGCACTTGTGTCAGAACAGCATATCAAACCCATTAAAGCTCGTAAAAACATGCAGCAGTGAATCAAAAGACCCCCAATTAGTGTGCCGTATAACATTGTCTATATCCAGGAAAACGCACGTGAAGGACAAGCCCTTTGCCTGTAACATTTGTGGCAAGACATTTGCGGACAAGTACTACCTCCGCAATCATTTCTCCATTCACTCTCCCGTTAAACCGTACAGTTGCCCGGTGTGCGGCCGCGGCTTCGCCAGCTCCTCCGCTCTGCGTTATCACAGGTACGTGGTGCCCTTATACGGGCAAGTCACGTGGTATCGCCTTGTTTGGGCATGTCACGTGGTTGTTGTTTTGTAGTTCGTTTGTGTGAGATGTTTTACATAACTGGGCGAGGGTTTGGAGTGAAAGAGAGAGAGAGAGAAAGAGAGAGAGAGAGAGAGAGAGAGAGAGAGATATCTACAATCTTACAATGCTTGTACTGCCCAGCTAGCTGCAGTGTATTGGAAGATGTTAGGTAGTCTGTTTCCTTTGTTCAACTCCAGACAATCCAATTATAGCGATAGTTTTTAAAATCATGATTAAAAGCAAGCCAATGTCTGGATTGAGTGCTCTCATCACGGCTTTTTGTTTTTTTTAATTTTTAGAATTAAAATTGTAGCCGTGCTAATGAGGTGGACTGTGTGTCTGTGGGGAGGAACAATGAACCCTGGAATGAATAATATCCTCCGCTCCGTCAGTTCTCATTAATAGTGGCCGGGAGAGCCTTTTTCTGTTTAATAATAGCACTATATTATGTATAATATAGAGAGAGGTTTTAATACGGGGTTACTTACTGGTTCACTGTCACTCAGACATTGCCTTTCCAATTCTCTGTCTCGCCCGTTGCTTGCAACAAAAAGCCGGCGGAGCTTTTTAATTAAAGTGGCCTAGACTTGGGTGAGGGTATAATGGTTGTAGTTAGGAAAAAGGTATTGTTTTGTGCGGGCTGAGCTAGAGTTAAACTATTGGAAATTGGAATGTCGGTGTTTTATTTGTGATTGCGTAACTTGAGTTAAACAATCACACATTAAATTGTAACTGGAGTTGAAACGTTGAAAATCTCACAAAGTATAAACATGACGTTAACTTACTAAGTAGCAATATTGACGTAATCTAACAGAGATTTATTCCAGTTTCCAACACACGGGAGAAAAGCCCGCCAAGTGCCAGTACTGCCCCAGCGAGTTCGTTCAGAAGAACCAGCTTAAACTCCACATCGCCCGGAAACATAAGGTTTGTGACTATTTTTGACTGCTTTACAGTAGAGACGTAGGTGGCTCAGATATAATATACAGTATGTATAATGCTCCTCATAGAGTACGTGAATAATCGGCTCATCACCAGATATTATAATATATAGTATGTATAATGTTCCTCAATTCCTTGTTAAGTACGTGTTTTCCCCCTTTGTGAAGTATCTTTTATTACTAACATTGTCTTAGTTTAGACCCACAAATAACAATAGTCACTAGACATCATGTGCTCCTGTGTTTTTAACTTTCTGGTCCGCTTCATTTCACGCCCACACAACAAAATTAGATTGTCAAGTCCGAAAACTCCACGTACTGAACTGCGAGCTGTACTTTCCAACTATTGTCACTCAATTTAATCTCCCAAAATCCTGGACGTATTTGAGTTTAAATCTCCTCCGCTCTTCAACTACAAATTAAATTCACTAAAACCACTTTTTTTGTCCTGGTCGGTGGCCACCTGTGTGGATTTCAAGATCTCATTAGTAAAATATTAGTAAAGAGATTGTGACACTGACACTGCGTTTTCTCTCTGTTCGAACATGCCAGGTGCTCTCTGAATCATCTGATTTTAATTTTTATAAAACCTTCCTGTCACGTGACATGACCATATTTGGGTATTTCACGTGACTTGACTGTACTCACAGCAAAACACAGCTTTAACAATTTAATGGAAGTAACACGTCTTGTTATTAACGTAGTTCATATGAATATGTAGGAGTTAATTTGACAAAGAAGATTGCAGGCTGGTTAACCATAAAGTATAATATCATTTCTTAACATTAAGTTATTCAAGGGTGAATTGTATTAAGGGGCCGCTACTACATAACAATTGACTTTAGCACCGGCTCGTTAACATCAAAAGGTAAGGCGGTCATCACATTAGAATAAATTTATAATTTATTTGATAATAGCGCTACTTATAAAACTAGGCCGCCTTCTTGCCCAAAAGTTGTCATAGTTAACCGGTAACCAATCAGAAGGCTATGTTCGGCTGGTGGACCAATGAGGAGGTTAATTCAAGGTGACCAATTTGTCATGTTCTGTCATTTGGTGTGAAGAAAAAGCACAAATTAAACGAGTAAGACCTTTACCCAAACCACTCGGCTAATTGTCCTTTGAACGCAATTTTTGAAAGAAATTTGACGTCCTCTAATAAATTTTTAATCTGTTTGTGCAATTAGGTATAATTTTGGCAGAGTGGTGGTGACTGAAACCCTAACCACGCTCCCATGGATCAACTTGTTTCAAATTATCCGAAAATTTTACAGCAGAACTAGCAACAGTAATTTTCGCTTAGAAAGACCTGTAAAAAGTTAAAGATTAAGGGAGGGGCGGCTCCGAAATGGGACCTGAATATTCCTTGAATTATGTACCGAGAGGATCCCTTTCGGAGGTTATAATTTGTCCATTATCACCTGCCAGTTTTTTGTGATCTCCCGTTACTTCTAACCATTGTGTCTTGTTAGCCCCATTCTCTGTAATAATTCACTGTAGACCCCAGTAAATTAAATCTGAAACACTTAGTTGAAAATCATTGGAGCGAACAATTAATAAAAGTAATTAATAAACAGGGCCTTGACACTCCACAAATTCAGCCACAAACCACATCACCACTGTGCAATAAGGACCCAACATTAGCGCACCAAACATGGTTAACCACACCCTCTACCTAGATATGATAATAACCCACCCCCTTTTTCAGGAGCTGATAAACAGTTTGAACCCCCTGCACGAGGGAGATATTATCCCCGGCAACATGTCCCTGGGTGGATGTGGATCTCCAGCCCACTCTCCAGCCCACACTCCTTCCTCAGCTACTCATCAGAAACACTCCCCCATAGTCCACTCCCCCACGACACAAGCCAACTCAGTGCAGCTCACTCCATCCAATAATATAATGTGAGTACTTATCTTACTCCAACTTTCTGGGAATTTGCAGAAATTTCTGGAAATATAAAGATTATTGGATATTTCGTTTTTTCCCTGCAATAGACCGCGCTTTACCATACGGCACAGACTTTAATAACGAGACCCTAATTTACAATTTACATCAGTTAGTTTTATAAATTAGCTATAAGCTGTCTTTTGATTCCATATTTCCGATGCAAGTTGGTTTGGTTAAGAGTGATGTAATATTGTAGAAGCATGGTGCACGTGAACAAAATAGAAGAAACGCTGAGAAAACGAAAACTGTTCCAACAGACACAAATACTAACAAACAAACAGACAGAAAAACAAACAGACATAAAAGCAGAAATAACAGACTCAACAGATCGGTTACTCCTCTTTCTTCTCAATCCTCTATTTTCTCACTCTCCACCTCCTCTCTGACCACAAGATAACACTCTGTATTTCTCAGGAACACTCCAACAGTTGCTCCAGCTCCCCCGCAACAACAGCCGGAAGAAGCCATGCAGGTCGATGGAGAGCAGAAACCAGAACCTAAAACTGAGACTCCCAGCGAGGCGCCCACTGTTGCCATGGCAACTGAGCAACTGCAAGAACTCATTGCCTCCCTCCAAAGATCGTCAAAACAAGGAAGCAAGACCACAACTCAGACGACCAAAACTGAGGTTAGTTCACTTTCACTTTATCTCCTATGGTTATTGCTAATTATACGGGATTAAACCCTGTATAAGCCATAGATTAGTTCACTTTTGATCGACCTCTAGTTCAACTATCTGACCTAACTCTATTTCAGAAGAAGAGTGAAACTCCAAACAATTTCACCCTCTCCTCCCCCTTCTCCAAAATAACTGACGGTATCAACCAGTTATTGGATGGTAGTGCAGTAGCTGGTGAAACTGGTCCTGTTGAGACCAGTTGAAAGCAAGGGAGACAAGTTGAGAAACTGTGAGACTAGCTTGAGCTAGGTGAAGAAGTCTGAGAAAGTATGTGAGGAGAAGACGTTATTTGCTACTGAAGATAAGACTAGATAGATAAGATAAGATAAGATAAGATGAGATGAGATAAGATAAGATAATGATAATTTGTGTTTTACGTCTGGACTTTGAGGATGGATTATGCAAAGAAGAACTAGCGATTGGACTGAATCTTTATCGAACCTTAATATATGTCAATGTATATTTTGTTTTTAAATTAATAAATTAATTTCATATTTAATTCTATAAGTATTGAGAATTATATAATCATAATATTTATCTAATAGTTGATTGGTTGCAGGGTATTCAATATTTGCGACACGTTTTTTCGTTTTTGCCACGACCATATAAGGTAATGTCAACATGGTTACATTTCCTTATCAGGTAATGGCAACATGGTAACATTTCCTTATAAGGTAATGTCCAAGCTTGTGATGTGTATTTGTTTTATCCCTTGGAGAGCTGTCTCTCTGAATTTTAGACTATTTATTTCGAATTTAATATGTCTTTAAGTTTATAGTAGTTAAGTAGTATAGTCGAATTGTTACATAATTGGAGAAATGTCACGATTAAGGGAACGTATTTTGCAACTCCAAAATTGAATTTACGTTGAATTTGATAATCGCGTAAAGTAATTACCGTCATTATATGAGAATTTCAATTATTTTGTTATATTATTTTCTCTTCTGGTAGCAGTAGTACAAGTAGTATATTCTGCTCGCAACAACATGTGTAAACTATTACTGTGTTACCTTTTATTATTTACAAGTATAGTATTTGTAGATTTTAACACTGTCGTCTTACTTTGAACCACTGTAGAAGTACGATCAAATTCTCAGATTCTGAGATAAAAATAGGCTCAGAGCAAGACATAATCAAATATTCTAAAGATAGTAAATTACTGCTCTATTTAAAAGTAAAATCAAGGCAAGTTCAGAGCATGGCCTAAAGAATAATGTATCATCACCGGGCACTAACTAAACACCTCTACAAAGATAAAGTAAGTATCTTTGATGACATGCTTATCGCCACTATCATCAACAACACTAACCACTAAGGGGTTGTTCAAATATAACGTGATAAGCCGAGGAATAGGGGGGGGGGGGGGTGTTCAATTGATAATAACAACAATAACTACTGAGGGGTCGTTCACATTGACATATTACGTGATCAGTCGAGGAAGGGGGGGGGGGTGATAGTAACAAAATTATGACAACTTCACAATTACACTTTCACCTCGAACACGGAAGACGGCAGAGTCAACATGTAAGTGCGGTAATATTTCGTAATTTGTGCGATTCTTTACCCACCCAAACCTTTTTTAATTTTATGTGTGGCAAATTTGGGGACAAAAAACGCCACAATTAGGCTGAACAATTCACCAAATTTGCAGCCTTAAACTGGATTGTTTTCATGTTTAACACGACACGACATTTACGATGTGTCCACTGTCTTACTATACGTAGTGTCTAACATTGTAGCGCGATGCACTACTGGGCCGGCCGCGCGCGCATCCAATAATTGATAATGCTTCTCGCAACCACAGATCGGCGAGATGCGAAGGATTGACATCGTGAATCAATGTCTAACACTGAGTCTTAGTTATGTCTTACATTGAGTTTCCTAGCCGGCTAGTGACTGGCTACTAGTACTATGCGGTCACAAGCCGGCTATTAGCAATGACCACTGGCGACCTTGTGTGACCTTGGTAAACCAATGTGTATTTATAAACAAGCTGATAATGAGCATAATCGAAGTTGAGTACTCAATATTATAACTTTATAAGTATAAGTATAACTTTACAACATAAGATTCCAACACATTGTGTGTATATTGTTTAACTATGAGCGACTATAATGTGGTGAAGCTAAAGTGACTCAATTTCAATCTGCTGAGGGATTTCGAATATCCAGCTTGAAAAGTTCAAAGTAATACTTATTGATTTTCCAAAAATCAACTTGCTGGATGATAATTAATCACTTTGCACTCGACTGTCATGTGACTTTTTAAACTAGTACAGTCAAATCCGTCCTAATTTAAGCCTTTGTCGGACAAAATTCGCAACAAAGCGATTTTAACGGGATATGGTCGGGACAGGTCCCAGGAATCATTCCAGAGAGTTCCCAAAATCCTCGACTTCAGGAAAATCCACAATTACCACTTTTTTACCACCTTTTTACCACTTTGGTTTTCTGCAAATAAGTCACGTTCTGAATATCCTAGAAGATTCTAGTTTAAAGCATTGTGTTTAGAAAACAAAGAAGAACAACTTTTCTTTTAACAACTTTTTCAAAAATAAATTATTTAATTAATAAATTAAATAATTAATAAAATTTCAAATATTTCAAAAATATATTTTCATAAAAAATGTTCACAATTACATTCCACGTGCAATGAACTAATTTTTATAAAAATTTTCACTTTCAATATTTTGGACTTGTAAAATTTTCGAAATTCGTAAAGAATAACCACTATTTATCACTTTTTACCACATTGAATCTCCGCTAATAAAACGACTTCTGAATGTCGTCGAAGGTTCTAGATTGAACCAATGTGTTCAAAATATAAAAGAGAACAACTTTTTATCTGACAACCTTTGGATTAGATAATTAATTGATTTATTAATTAAATAATAATTAAATTTTTAAAAATTTCAAAATATACTTTTTATCAAAAATATTTGCCGTGACGTAAAATGAATTTACTTGAATAACAGAACATACACCGTCACATAGATTAGATAACAGATTTAAAAAATTCAGATAAATGGAATAAACGGTAAAATATCAAAATTTGTACGATACTATTATAGCTTATTTATAAATATTTACACATCATATCTCTCGACTTACAGAAACATCAACTGGATTAGACCACAGAACTGCCTCTCTGCAAATCAAAACATCTGCAAAACGATGTGCGAAACGGATTGAAAATGACGAAGTTATCAAGCAATTTGTTTATCTCGTTAGCGAAATTGATTGGGTTATCAATGATTACCTAATTGCTTATCACGTGACAGGGTGCTAGGATACCGTAATTGGGCTTTCTGCACGATTTCTGTGCCACGCTTTCACTGGATCAGACACCACCAGTCGGATCCACGGAGTTGGTAAGGATCGGCTATTCAGAACGATTCCGATAGTGGGAATCTAGTGCACTAAGCTACGGAGAAAGTCACGAGAAATTTTTGGGCGAGCGAATTAGGAACTTAGTAAGAGCCTAACGTATGTGTACTATACCACCTCCCCCCTCCCCCGCACAATAATTTACCCTGTCTGTAATCCGGTTTGAGGATTTATCATTTAGTGCGATCTCTACGTTACAGAATGGACATTTGTTTAAACTGTGTTCGCGGACTAAAGATGGTCCTGTCTCAGTTACAACGAACTCCTCTTCATTGGCCGATATAATAGTTAACAGCACTATGTTTACAGTATGCACTGAAGGGGTATCCTAGTTGCTTGAACTTTTAACAGGTGCCCCGCCTCATTTAAACCTCAATTAAGTTTCCTATCATTCGGTTGAGTCGACCGTTGAGATCCCTTAGATCCAATGGATCCTTAGCTACTCCCTAGACTAGGTGACACTGGGATTCGAACCCTGAACCTCTGCGCAGAAGGCGGATGCTCTAACCGCTAGGCTAGATATGAATCTTTGGAACTGGTCTATGGTCACTGTCTGCAATAATACACACAAGACGTCACTCAGAGCTGAATCAGTCATGCCGTTGTACTGCCGTTTAATTTCGTTCAGTGACCAGGGGTTGTTGATCCAACCTGTGGTGCGTTGATTTCTTTATTTATACAAGGTATGAGAGGCGTCAGGATAAAGAATAGGACTGTACGTATCCGTTTCAAATTTGCTGGGCATAGTTTAAAAGTTAGTGCACTTACTTAAAAGATAAATAGTTTAAATAGTACCTGAGGACAGCAACCCTTTCCATATTTCATTCCATGCAAATTTACATTGTCGATCATTCGCCCTCTTAAAGCTATTCACCGAAACTAACTCCTCATTTGCCTGGTAAATTAAAACATTGTATTGGTTAAGAATAGCTGATTTCATAAAAATCGAGATCACTAGATGAAGCAAGACTTTCAGTTCTTGAACAGAAGTCGCAATCTTCAACAGCAGACATCAAGTGCGAACAGCTCCCGCCAACATTCTTATCGTGTTTACCATCAGCAGCAGGTGTGGGATGAGAATGACCTAGATCCGATAAGCTGGGATGGAAGATGAACAATGGGACACATGTACCAGTGACCACTCTTATGAGTACAGCTCCGAAAAAGCTCATTCAAAAAATCAGTTGCAAATGTTTAAAGTCAGGTTGTGGCAATGCTTGTTCATGCAGAAAAGCAGGAATACATTGTGGATCAACCTGCCTCAAATGTCAGGACAATTGCAGCAATGTGCCAGCTGAGGACTCATAAGTTAGACTGTTATCTAGTATATATATGGTTATATAAAGTACTACTTCGATTTCCCGATTAATTTAATGGAAATTTGTTAATTATTCGTGATATGTAATTTTAAAATATTTTGATCAAAAATAATTTTTATAATTTTTGGATATTTGTTTAATAATCGAATTAACTAATTAATTAATTATCTAATCCAAAGGTTGTCAGATAAAACTTTGTTCTCTTTATATTTTGAACACATTGGTTCAATCTAGAACCTTCTACGATATTCAGAAGTCGTTTTTTAGCGGAGATTCAATGTGGTAAAAAGTGGTAAATAGTGGTTTTTCTTCTCAAATTTCGTAAATTTTACAAGTTCAAAATATTGTTAGTGAAAATTTTCAAAATTTTCATAGAAATTAGTTCAATATTCGTGGAATGTAATTGTGAACATTTTTCATGAAAATGTATTTTTGAAATATTTTAAAATTTATTAATTATTTAATTAATTAAATAAATAATTTATTTTTGAAAACGTTGTTAAAGAAAAAGTTGTTCTTCTTTGTTTTCTTAACACAATGCTTTAAACTAGAATCTTCTAGGATATTCAGAACGTGACTTATTTGCGGAAAACCAAAGTGGTAAAAAGGTGGTAAAAAAGTGGTAACTGTGGATTTTCCTGAAGTCGAGGATTTTGGGAACTCTCTGGAATGAATCCTGGGACCTGTCCCGACCATATCCCGTTAAAATCGCTTTGTTGCGAATTTTGTCCGACAAAAAGACGGATTTGACTGTACTAAACACTGAACACGTTTTCTTGGTGGCCCTGAATAACTATGGGGTCGTTCGCATATTACGTAATCAGCCGAGGGGGGGTTTCAAATGCTTACTATTGATTTGGTCGTTGATTACGTAATCAATCGGTATTTCGAAAATCGGTAAAAAATTAAAATTTTGATTCAAAATTTTAATTTTTTACCGATTTTCGAAATACCGATTGGACAATTTTTGCTAATTATGTAATCAAAATTTTCGTTTTTTTAAACCAATTTTCGTTTAGTAAGTGCTTTGCGATTATTGCGTTTATTAATCCGTTATGATAGCTTTTAATAAATAAATGGCTTAACATGAACATTGAACATGTAATAGATAGTAATAAAAATAAAATTAGTAAATAAATAATATAGGACTTGCCATACGTTGTATGACCATTGACCCGTCGCGCACGAGTTTACTGGGCCGCGCTCAGCCTGTCATTCCGCCAAATCTTTGTTCATGAACATGATAGCCTGAGGTCCCCAGGTAAGTGATTTGGTGTTATTATTATTAATATCAGGTGTGATTTGTTGTTATTATTATTAATATCAGGTGTGATTTGGTGTTATTATTATTAATATCTATCAGGTGTGATTTGGTGTTATTATTATTAATATCAGGTGTGATTTGGTGTTATTATATTATTAATATCAGGTGTGATTTGGTGTTGTTATTATTAATATCAGGTGTGATTTGGTGTTGTTATTATTAATATCATTATCAGGTGTGATTTGGTGTTGTTATTATTAATATCAGGTGTGATTTGGTGTTGTTATTATTAATGTTTGTTTGGGGACCGGTTTTTGGTACCCGGCCAATGTTTACAAAATAATATAACAATATAATTTTATTTAATATGCGTGAATATGAAAATTGAAAATTATGATGTAACCTTTTACGTCTATTCATTAAAAACAAAAACAAAAACTTTAAAAATTAAAACTTGCGTAAAAATTAAAACTATCAGTCCTTTGAAAACTATACTTACAAATGTCATCAATTGAAAATCCTTCCTCTCAGCAAGAGGTTTGAATTGAATGACCTGACCTTGTTTCACAAAATAGTCAATGGTGTATGCACACAAGAGCTTCCTAATTACTTACAACTATACAAAGGAAGCACACGCTTAAGATCATGTCACCATGACAGCCTAAGTTATGTAACGACTCTTGTTCAAACACAGTGTAATAGCAGTCTCCTTAAGAAATCATTCTTTTATCGGACACATCTGCTCTGGAATAAACTTCCTCTCGAAATAAGAGACCATAGCTGTCCTGATATCTTCAAGGCCAAACTTAAGGATCACCTATGGTCGGAAATGCTACCCACAGATCCAAACGATAGTCACGCTGAATTCTACCTGTCTGATAATGATTAGATGCATCTCATTTCTCCCAATGCCAATTCTCTAATCTAAAATAACCGATCCAAACTATTTAAGGGGTTAGGGGTGGGTTGGGTTGTGGGTTGGGTTTTTAAAAGTATTGTATGATATAATCTATTTCATTAAAAAGTTAACAAATTATTAACATTATGATATTTTATGCACGCTGTATTTTATTATTGCACAATCATCTCTATTACTATATATCTTACATTTATATGTGTTGATTGTATGAAATGTTTTGTCAGGGACCATATTTTGTAGGTGTAATTTTTGCACGAACTACGTTCTGGTTTCCCGTCATTATAGTACATAGAAATCCCTTTTTGACCGTGTTATTTTCATGCAATTACATTGATGTATGTACTATTTTGAAAAGATTTTCAATAAAAAAAAATCATGATTTATTAACATAGTGACAAATAATTTGATTTGATACGACAGATGATCACACGCACTGTTTTATAAGCTACTTGTGTCAGATTACTGAGTAGTGGGCAGTGCAGAGTCGATGGTATAGTACTCTGTACTCTGTATCAGTATAGTGCTCAGGTGTGATTTGGTGTTGTTATTATTAATATCAGGTGTGATTTGGTGTTGTTATTATTAATATCAGGTGTGATTTGGTGTTGTGACCCACCTCCACCCTGGGAAATAGGAAGTGTGTTTTCGGTTGTTTGATTTTCGAGGGCTCTTAATCTTTTATTCCATATCATTTGCATTGGCCGTTGTTAATAGAGTGCATATTGCATAATAGTATGTTTTTGATTGTTTGTGATCACTATTACTGAGAAAAGATGTTGGTGAACAACTGATGTTAACGGTAAAAATGTAAGTTGAAATGAGTGAATTGTTCAAAGTGTGACATTATCGTTGTTTTATATTTAACTTCATGTTGTCGGAAGAGACTGTTGTACTGTTGTACAATACTCGGGCAATGAACAAATAAATGTATATTTCATAGTTTATTCTTTGGATGATGATTAATCACTCTATACTCGACTGTCACGTGACTTTTTCAGCCCGTTCTCTAGCTGGGCCTGAACGACTATTCGAAACCCTAACCCTCTAGTCTGTAGTCTGATTCCAACCCTAACCCTAACCCAATTCTTAACAAAAGCATATGCTGAAACCCTAACCCTAACGAGAAATTTAACTAACTTCCTTATACGGTCATATCACGTGATTGAGACAGTTTTTCGCCAATATTTCGTTAGGGGAGCATTTTAGAGATTCTTCCACTGTCGTGGGCCATTTTAGAACAATCTCGAAGATCGACTGTAGAGCGATTTAGCACGCTCGTTATTCTTTATTAGTCATTATAATTCATGTTGGTCACAGAATAACTATAATAGCTTATCAAATTCAAACATCGAATTCTCAAGTAAAGTAATGAAATAATTTTCAAAGATATCCAAAATGGCATGCAGTTGAAAGTCTGTATATTTATCTTCTAATCTAATTGTTTCCTTGTCCTCCAATGCTCCAGACTCCGATCGTCCTCGCTTATACTTTTTATTCATCTGAATTGTTTTATTGTTACAGTCTCGTTTTTAAGATATAATTTTTAAAGATAGTTACATTTAATGGAAATGTTAATATAATTCACTTAATTTTGTATGAATCAATTTATTTTACCTAAGCTTATCTCCGCAAAAAAGCCACGGTTTCATTTTGCAATATTGATATATACGTGGGACGTGGGTTCGGGTCTCTACTCTCTAGGCTGTGACACTCTAAGCCTAGGGCGTGAGACTTTAAGGAAACAGACTATATAGGGTACGAGACTCTAGGGAGTGGAACACAAAATCTTACTCCAACTTGGGTTTCGAAACGCAAAATTCCTGCTCAACTTGGGCTTCGAGACTCAAAAGACTACAAGCCAAAAGACAAAAGAAGACAGCAAAATTTGCTAAATTTTGCTAATTAACGAGGCGGGTGATGCTTTTATTTATGTGGTTCACCCTGTAGATCCTGTTTTAAAAGAAAGAGGGGGGGGGGGGGGGGGGGGGGGGGGGGGGGGGGGGGGGGGGGGGGGGGGGGGGGGGGGGGGGGGGGGGGGGGGGGGGGCCCAAAGATTTTTTGGGGGAAACAAAATGAAGGGTTAAAAGCCCTGTGAATTTGGGAAATAAAAGATTTGGGCCCATCAAAAATTTCAGGGGGGGTTTTTTTTTAATAGAAATAACTATGGCCATGGGCTTCGAGACAATACCAGCTGAAATTAATACAGGCAGATATTCTTTGATTTAATTCTTTGATCCTCATCAAAATTGCAGATAACCTTGTAAAAAATTGACGGACGGTTCTCCCCCGCCCCCCCCCCCCCCGGCCCCTTTTGCTTCACGTCGGGCCCCCCACGGTTTTTTAACTATATTTTTTTTTCCCTGTAGAGTTTCAAGATACAGGGGGGGCCGCGCACAATCGTGCGCGGGGGTCATAAAACCGAGACCCCCCCCCCCCCCCCATTAAAAAGAAATCAAAAATATTAGATTAATGAAGGAAAATGTGCTGGTGGTGAAATTTGAACTGAGCAAGGATATATATAAATATCTTCGACCTTCTGAACGACTTTCTGAACTACCTTAGGGCCAATAAATTTGGTTCTCAATAAATTTGGTTACCATAATTTTGGTTACCATAATTTTGGTTACCATAATTTTAGTCACAAATTTCGCAAATTTTTAGTCTACAACGATTTTAGTCACATTTTTTGACTTTTCATACCATTTTCTATTCCATTTACTTATGATTGACAAATTTAGTCTACCCCGTCTGATCAGCATTACAGATTAAGTTGCAATGCATTACTCAGGAATTTCAATGTACGGTGATCTTCCCAAAGTCAGCTCCAAGATAACCCAACGAAGGCTCAGACTTGCAGGTCATACTCACCAACATCCGGAGCTGACACTGAACAAACTGATCCTCTGGAAGCCGAGTCATGGGCATACTAACAGGGGGCGACTTACTTAACACTACTAGATAACCTAAAAAGCAGATACTGGGCTGAATTCAGCAGGCACGTAGCCCAGGGGGGGCTAGGGGGGGCGCAGCCCCCCCGGAAAAAATCGAACCCCAGAAAAAAGATAAGCCCCCTCGTCCCCATGGTCGCCTGGTAACTGGCTGTGTTTATGACTGCAGTCAGTCCAAAGATTTGAACTGTGGATTAGTAAATATATGTCATTAAATCCAAGCAAACATTCTAGAAGACTTCGTAAATTCTGATTGGAGAATGCAGATTGCTGTTGTGAAGTTACCAAATTTACGTGAGTACTTGATTCTTTTCAATCCCAGTTTATTGCTGTCATACAACGTATGACACCCCCCCCCCCCCCCCCCATTAATATGAAAGTCTTAAAATATTAGATTAATGTAGGAAAATGAGCTGGTGGTGAAATTTGAACTGAGCAAGGATATATATAAATATCTTCGACCTTCTGAACGACTTTCTGAACTACCTTAGGGCCAATAAATTTGGTTCTCAATAAATTTGGTTACCATAATTTTGGTTACCATAATTTTGGTTACCATAATTTTGGTTACCATAATTTTAGTCACAAATTTCGCAAATTTTTAGTCTACAACGATTTTAGTCACATTTTTTGACTTTTCAAAACCATTTTCCATTCCATTTACCTTATGAATGACAAATTTAGTCTACCCCGTCTGATCAGCATTACAGATTAAGTTGCAATGCATTACTCAGGAATTTCAATGTACGGTGATCTTCCCAAAGTCAGCTCCAAGATAACCCAACGAAGGCTCAGACTTGCAGGTCATACTCACCATCATCCGGAGTGACACTGAACAAACTGATCCTCTGGAAGCCGAGTCATGGGCATACTAACAGGGGGCGACCTTACTTAACACTACTAGATAACCTAAAGCAGTACTGGGCTGAAATCAGCAGGCACGTAGCCGGGGGGCTAGGGGGGCGGCAGCCCCCCCGGAAAAAATCGAACCCCAGAAAAAAGATAAGCCCCCGGCTAGTCCCCATGGTCGCCTGGTAACTGGGCTGTGTTTATGACTGCAGTCAGTCAAAGATTTGAACTGTGGATTAGTAAATATATGTCATTAAATCCAAGCAAACATTCTAGAAGACTTCGTAAATTCTGATTGGAGAATGCAGATTGCTGTTGTGAAGTTACCAAATTTACGTGAGTACTTGATTCTTTTCAATCCCAGTTTATTGCTGTCCTACAAATTTCTTTAATGCCAAATGTCGTCTAAAACACCCTGTTTCGCAAAAAATTTCCGCGTCGGCTAGCTTCGCTCGCCGACAGCCCCCCTCAAAGAAAAATCCTGGCTACGTCCCTGGAAATCAGTAGATGAGATAGCTAGACTGATGGAGGACAGAAAGCTGTGGAGAACTGTTGTCAATGGATCTCGGGAATACTACCCGCCTCAAAGTCAAAAGTAAGTCAGGAATTTCAATAACATCAGATCCAGAGTTTGTGACTCTGTGTCACTAAGTTCTTCAGTACACCGTTCAGTTTCTTTTTCATCCTTTTTCGCTTTTACCATTTTTGTTGAAACGACGTAGTTTATGTCGATATGATCCTTCAGCCGTTTCAACACACCATACATTGGGATGGATCGATTAAAAATGTAATTTCCAAGAGGAGCTCTAACCCTTTAAATGCAGTAGCTGAATTTGGTACGGTTTTGTGCAGTAGGAACGGTGATGTCATATATTAATTATAAACAATGTTAGCTAATAATATTCATGTCATATTTGGTCTGCTGAAATTTGGTCTGCTTTAAAATTAGTCGCCGAAAAATGTAGTCTCATTAAATTTGGTTTACAACAATTTTAGTCAAAAGTTTGACTAAATTTATGGCAGACTAAATTTTTCGTTCTTAAGGTAACTCGTTAATGGCAAAAGAGGCTCAAGCTGTAATCTTACCTGAATTGCACTTGTTGACCGAATCATTTCCCAAAACCCTCACCTCACAGAGGGCCAGGACTTGATTGTGATTCGTTATCCTGACCACACCTCCAACAGTGTTGGGAGGACATTTAACCGCGTAGTTTGCAATCCCATCTTGATACTGCACATCCTCACAGAACTGATCATCACGAACACCTACAGATAGGAAATTCAGCATAAAATAGGTGAAATTGTGGGATTTGAAAGTTCTTGGTGTCGTTATATGATTCGATAATCTGTGAAATAAGGAAACAATGCTTCGTACGATGACTGACTGCTAACAAATTATTAAACGTTAACTCATGACACGACGTTATCGTGAACAGTTAAACTGTCATGACAGTGCAAAGTTTTTAACACCTGATCAACTTTCAATCATTTGTTTTGTCTAAGTATTTCATTTTGAGTATATTGATATTAATTTTAGGGATCGATAAGTTTCAGCCTTATTATATAACATAATATATATATAATAATATAATAATATAATAATATAATAATATAATAATATAATAATATAATAATATAATAATATAATAATATAATAATATAATAATATAATAATATAATAATATAATAATATAATAATATAATAATATAATAATATAATAATATAATAATATAATAATATAATAATATAATAATATAATAATATAATAATATAATAATATAATAATATAATAATATAATAATATAATAATATGATAATATAATAATATGATAATATAATAATATGATAATATGATAATATGATAATATGATAATATGATAATATGATAATATGATAATATGATAATATGATAATATGATAATATGATAATATGATAATATGATAATATGATAATATGATAATATGATAATATGATAATATGATAATATGATAATATGATAATATGATAATATGATAATATGATAATATGATAATATGATAATATGATAATATGATAATATGATAATATGATAATATGATAATATGATAATATGATAATATGATAATATGATAATATGATAATATGATAATATGATAATATGATAATATGATAATATGATAATATGATAATATGATAATATGATAATATGATAATATGATAATATGATAATATGATAATATGATAATATGATAATATGATAATATGATAATATGATAATATGATAATATGATAATATGATAATATGATAATATGATAATATGATAATATGATAATATGATAATATGATAATATGATAATATGATAATATGATAATATGATAATATGATAATATGATAATATGATAATATGATAATATGATAATATGATAATATGATAATATGATAATATGATAATATGATAATATGATAATATGATAATATGATAATATGATAATATGATAATATGATAATATGATAATATGATAATATGATAATATGATAATATGATAATATGATAATATGATATATGATAATATGATAATATGATAATATGATAATATGATAATATGATAATATGATAATATGATAATATGATAATATGATAATATGATAATATGATAATATGATAATATGATAATATGATAATATGATAATATGATAATATGATAATATGATAATATGATAATATGATAATATGATAATATGATAATATGATAATATGATAATATGATAATATGATAATATGATAATATGATAATATGATAATATAATAATATAATAATATTGTATTAAAGAAAAAATAACAATCATCAAAGGAAGGAATCTCCTGGAGAGAGCATTATTGTGGTCTATAGTTAGGGGAGCTGTGCTCTTGACATTTTCTCAGGACATAGCCAGGACCAGTCGGGCTTAAGCATAGGGGGAGTTGACAATGGTTGACTCAGGAGAGCAGGAACTGGCTGTGTTGTAGCCAGGGTTATCACGGGTTAATCCAACACGAGTGGGTTCGTGTCTTCAACAATCGGGCTCAGGTAGAGCGAGAATGTACTAGAGTGGATTTGGGCCTGATATAAGGACGGTCAGCGAGGGCTGAAAGTGTTACGTAAGTGTAGTTTAAGGGTAAGACTCCGTTAGAGACGGTCAACGACGGTTAACCGTGATAGGTAAGGGTAGAATAAGGGCGTATATTTTACAGTAGATGTAGGGCGATATAAGTCAGAGTAATTAGGAAGTGTATTTTGTAGTAATCGAATTGTTAGAAGAGTTGGTTCTTACCCTTTTTTATCACTAGCAGGAACCCGTCTACCCTAAAGTGGTGTCAAGACTCGAGAGAATAAAATAATTATTACCTATTTAATTCGCGTTTTTGACACCACTTGGGGGTCCAAATTTTGGGCTCTAAAACTCTTATTCCTTGGCCAATTTTTTATTTTTTTCATGCTGATTTGGAGGCCAATAAATCAATTGACCCAGTCAAAAAAGTTTCAGTTGTATATCTTTTACGGTTTTTGCGAAAATTTGCGTTTAAGTTGATGCCGTGGTGTCAGTAAAATGGCACAGATAAATATATATATATCGTCTCGCTTTATATATAGTAAGATAGTTATTTATCTCGTTTTCATTGTTCAATACGTTTAATTAAATACAAATAACTGTTTAGTTTGTCTTTCTCCTCTCCTCTCCCGAAGATCCCTTCTCCTACTTTTCCTGCTGCTAACTTTCCCCAGCAGACCGACCCCTAGGAGGAAAAAAGAAACAGGACAGAATGGAAGGAGGAGACGACGGAGGAGCAGAGGAGGAAGCAAAACACGCTGTGTTTTAGGTGCATTGGTAGAGGGCATTGGTCGACGGAGTGCAGTAATGAAAGGAAATGCTATAATTGTGGCAGGGTTGGGCACGAAATGAGGGATTGCTACAGGAAGAGAGAGAGGAGGTAAGTATGGGAGGGACAAGATTGTTATAGATTGAATCGAGCTAGTTCCTAGCTCTCTCCTGATTCTTCTAGAACCTTCCACGAGGACCAAATATCTCTTGATATTTACGGGTTAAACTTAAACCACTAGTCCGTAAAGAAGACGGTTAAAACCACTAGTCCGCGCGTAGAGAGGATAGTTAAACAACGGTTAATTACCTTGTTTTGAATATAAACTTAGACCTCTCCGAAACACGTAGGTTTAGCGTAAGGGTCAAGGTTCTGCGATCATACTTTGTTCATTATTCCGATTTTACTATCATACTGACCGTCACTTCGAGTATCTATTTTCCACGCAACCGGTGGCAACAAGATTGTCAGGGTTGAACATTTGGAAAGAGTAGCGAAATAAGTTTTTTAAAAAAGGAGAGGGAGGAAAAAAGAAATAGGGGAGAATGGACGGAGGAGCAGAGGAGGACGCAGGATACGCTGTGTTTTAGGTGCAATCGCAGAGGTCATAGGTCGACGGATTGCACAAGGGAAAGAAGATGTTACAATTGCGACAGAGTCGGGCACGAGGTGAGGGATCGTTACAGAAGGAGAGAAAGGAAATAGGAGAGGGGTAAGTATGTATCGGACAGTTCAATTTGGAAATATAATAAATATCGAGAAGAAAATTTATAAAACATTAAATTTACAAGAAAAAGATTGCCATTAAATATTTGACACATTTTGTATTCTTTTTTCGCACTTCATGGGGTAATTAATTTAATGGGTCATGTCAATTGTCAACTGCCACTTATCTCAAGACAGAAGAGATCGCGGAAGCACGCGGGAAGAAGTGACCGTGCACTTGTGGTAGGCCACAAAGGTGTTTCATTATGATGATTTCCAAAACTAAATTTATATATTGACAGTTATGTAGTACATAATCAATACTGAACATTATTTTAAAAATAAATAAATAATAATAATCATAGTTGGTTCGTGCGTCAATTTTTCGGGAAAAGTACGTAAAGTGCGTTTAGTACAGACAGATCCGTCTAAAAAAATCGATCTGCTGACACTCAAAGCTTTCAGAGGTTTTTTGACGTTTTTGAGTCCCATTAGGTGCCCTTTATGGCTGACCAACTTTTCCAAACTTTTCCACTTGTCTTAAGGCCACTTTTTGCCACTTTACCACTTTTTACCACCTTTTTTGTTTGTCGAATATCTTTAGTTGTGAACATCGTAAAAGGTTGCGGATCAATCGAGTGTGTTCATATTATCAGGAAGAAAAACTTTTGTTCAAACAATTTTTACGTCAGATAATAAGTTAATTGGATAATTATCAATTAACTAATTAGCAAAATTCTAAAAAAATTTTATTGGCTAAAAATGATCGGAATAGCTTAAAACACGGAGAAAAGTAGTTTTTAGAAAAAATTTTAAAATTTTTCACTTACATTTTTTTTCGAGACTTAGAAAAAATTTCGAAAATTAAAAAATTTTTCCGCCAAAAGTGATCAAATCGCATGAAACACGGATAAAAATGCCTTTCTAAAAAACGTAGTGAATTTTTCGTTTCAAGAATACTTAAATCGCCAATATTTGTAGTTGGAGTTCAGTAAATCTCGGCAGATTTTAGTAATCAGGAATTAGTATTACTAAGTGAAGAGGTCTGAAACTGAAAAACGTTAACCATACGATCGCGCGGCGATATAAGAGTTTCATAAACTAATTTTCACAGAAACTGCACCAATGGCACAGTCAAGATCGAAACGATAGCCTGCTGTACTGTCATTTTATTGATTTCAATGATGAATCAGTGGGGTTAAGATAATCACATTTGTAATAAAATATAAATAAAACATCTCTGTACCGTCAATTGTGCTAGTCTAAACCAGCCTACCTGTATTACCAGACCTCTTCTTTTCCTCGACAATCAAACCAAGTTGCTCATATTATATCGCATTTGGTGGGTGATGTAAGTAGTAATACATATCGAGCTGTATTCAATCACAAAACGACACAATGCAATACGTGTATATTATATCCACCAGCGTGCGCTTTTTCGCATAGCGGGCTCTCACCAGCCCGCTGTCAAAGGGCCCGATATCTCTACAGCCCGCTCACGATATAGCCCGCTAACAAGTGACATTTAATTTGACCAGTAGCAATATAGCCCGGAGTTCTCTAAAATATTTTCAGTTTCTGTATCGTCTCCATGTGAAATTCCTTATTACACTGACTATATAATACATTTTATTTTTGTGTCCGGTAGGGCTGCTCATGCAGCTCGTGAGCAGATGACATGATACTTTGATTTATATCAAAGTTATTATAACACACTACATAATACACATCAGCACTATAATCCCCCTATATTATTGATATTCATCGTCACTGACATTACATTCATTATTCCCACGGCCCAGGAATGCAGTGCATCTCCAGCCCCTATATAATATATATACGACACATCCCTTTATGATTGGCTTACATTGAACACGTGACGTGTTACCATGGTTACAACAATTAGTGGCGACCTTTTCTAGAGTTGACTTTTATACAAGCTCCATTGTTTATTTATAAAATTATATATTAACTGTAATACGCCCGCTGGTGGATATAATCCACATCACCTCGACCCGCGGGCGGAAAAATCGTATAGCACTCGGGCCCGATGGGCCCTCCGTGCTATACGAAAATATGTCCTCCTCGGGCTAGCGCCCTCGGGGACATATGAAATATTGCACGCGCGTGCGCGTGCAATATTTTGTTCCGCCCGCGAGTCTCCGGTGATATGTATATATATCATGGCCCTTAATGAGGTATATGAAACGTTCTATATCGTACACTTCTCGTTTCTCCCGTGAGAGGCCCAGTAATAGTATGGAGAGGTTTTACAGTTTATCACGAAAACGTCTACTTGGCCTCATTGCTCAAAGAAGGCAAGAAAAGACCAGAAAGCTTTCAACTCGCTCTTTTCAATGCCCGTCCATCTGTCCCACATTAATCCTGAGCTGATCATCATAGCCCCGAATATCCTACGGGAAGAACCTGTATTTTTACCTCACGACGTCCGGATTTCAAATCAACACCCTCAATAACATTAACAATCCTTCCTGATCAGAATCTGTCTCTATTAGCAATTTCCAAAATATCCTGACTCTCGTGGAATATTTCACTGAATTATTTATTACCGGTTCTTTACTACCCCTTGCCCGTCACTCGTATCTACATCTTACCCTTGCCAGTATGTTACCCTTGCTGATTTTACGTTTAGCCGACCCTGACATATGGGGGTGATTTGAGGTATCCAGCATAGCAAATGAAGCGGTATGCAGAACAATACAAAACAAGTCACAGTTGATGTTGGAAGGTGTATTTACACTTGCTTTCTGGACCTGACTGTTCCTTAGTTTCCTTGATCTGTTCTTGCCTTCTCCGAACTGTAAATGAGCCATGTAATGAGGCCAAGTATACTTTTTCGTGATAAACATTAAAACGTCTCTATACCGGGTTTCTCATTAAGAGCCATATAATATACACGTATTGTGTCGTATTCTGATTGAATACAGCTCGTTATGTATAAGTTTCAATACCTACAACACTACTATATAACAAATAATTTGAATGACAGGATGGATTACCGAGGGCACTGTGTTAAGGTGATTTAAGTGGGTCCCAATCCCCACCGACCATTCTTCTTTGTGTCATGAATACTTGCTTCATCATCTCCTTTTAATAAAAATCACGGTGTCTTTATTGACTAAGCGCATTACTACTTACATCACCCACCAAATGCGATATAATATGAGCAACTTGGTTTGATTGTCGAGGAAAAGAAGAGGTCTGGTAATACAGGTAGGCTGGTTTAGACTAGCACAATTGACGGTACAGAGATGTTTTATTTATATTTTATTACAAATGTGATTATCTTAACCCCACTGATTCATCATTGAAATCAATAAAATGACAGTACAGCAGGCTATCGTTTCGATCTTGACTGTGCCATTGGTGCAGTTTCTGTGAAAATTAGTTTATGAAACTCTTATATCGCCGCGCGATCGTATGGTTAACGTTTTTCAGTTTCAGACCTCTTCACTTAGTAATACTAATTCCTGATTACTAAAATCTGCCGAGATTTACTGAACTCCAACTACAAATATTGGCGATTTAAGTATTCTTGAAACGAAAAATTCACTACGTTTTTTAGAAAGGCATTTTTATCCGTGTTTCATGCGATTTGATCACTTTTGGCGGAAAAATTTTTTAAATTTTCGAAATTTTTTCTAAGTCTCGAAAAAAAATGTAAGTGAAAAATTTTAAAATTTTTTCTAAAAACTACTTTTCTCCGTGTTTTAAGCTATTCCGATCATTTTTAGCCAATAAAATTTTTTTAGAATTTTGCTAATTAGTTAATTGATAATTATCCAATTAACTTATTATCTGACGTAAAAATTGTTTGAACAAAAGTTTTTCTTCCTGATAATATAAACACACTCGATTGATCCGCAACCTTTTACGATGTTCACAACTAAAGATATTCGACAAACAAAAAAGGTGGTAAAAAGTGGTAAAGTGGCAAAAAGTGGCCTTAAGACAAGTGGAAAAGTTTGGAAAAGTTGGTCAGCCATAAAGGGCACCTAATGGGACTCAAAAACGTCAAAAAACCTCTGAAAGCTTTGAGTGTCAGCAGATCGATTTTTTTAGACGGATCTGTCTGTACTAGTTTGAATTATTTCGTGCGTTAAAAGTGCGTTTAAGTACGTTTACCGTTGAATTCACCAGCATTTTCTGTAGACTGTAGAGACAAACAATTAAAACGCATGAATAACGTTCTTAAAGATTACATAGCGAATAAATTACATTTATTTCTCTTACATTTTATAGTTTCTTTTCAATATATTTAAGTAAGGAACTTCCAGTACAATCTCTTTTCGCTGTCGCAAGTGCTTTACAGTTACACGTTGAAATGTTCCTCAAACATTTTTTGGCATTCCAAAAATAGCTACTGTAAGGCTCACCAATGACAGTTTATGTGAAATCTTGGAAATAACACTGTCTGATGTTTTGGCCCTGTGTATTCAAAAATGAAAAAACCGCAAATGGCCCAGCGAGGGTAGGTAAAAGTGCGTTTTACGTTTTTTCGTACGTTAAGTGCGTTATGTTTTAAAAGTACGTTAAGTGCGCACGAACCAACTATGATAATAATTGATAATATGCTGATGTAAGAGGGTACGTAAATTAAATAAAATCCGAATTTGAAAACTAGTAGTTGTAAAACAACAAGAGTTCTGAGAAGATCATCATGAGGGCATGGTGTCTAGTTGTACTAATACAGGTGAGACTATTGTTCTTAAAGTTGTCAAATTCAATAATTTTTTAGAGAGACTGGGCCTGGACGGCCCACGAGAGGAAAGCATGGGGATGCTCTGACTACCTCTTGGCCTCTGGGGTATGGCAACCCTGGTGGAGGTTGCCGGAGAAATCAAAGTGAATAGTTGAGGATGGTGTTATACGGGGAGATGAGTCATAAAGGAAGCTAATAGAATAGCACCACAAAGAGCAGTAACCCATCAGTCTCAAGCATAGTTGGTTCGTGCGCACTTAACGTACTTTTAAAACATAACGCACTTAACGTACGAAAAAACGTAAAACGCACTTTTACCTACCCTCGCTGGGCCATTTGCGGTTTTTTCATTTTTGAATACACAGGGCCAAAACATCAGACAGTGTTATTTCCAAGATTTCACATAAACTGTCATTGGTGAGCCTTACAGTAGCTATTTTTGGAATGCCAAAAAATGTTTGAGGAACATTTCAACGTGTAACTGTAAAGCACTTGCGACAGCGAAAAGAGATTGTACTGGAAGTTCCTTACTTAAATATATTGAAAAGAAACTATAAAAAGTAAAAGAAATAAATGTAATTTATTCGCTATGTAATCTTTAAGAACGTTATTCATGCGTTTTAATTGTTTGTCTCTACAGTCTACAGAAAATGCTGGTGAATTCAACGGTAAACGTACTTAAACGCAATTTTAACGCACGAAATAATTCAAGCGCACTTTACGTACTTTTCCCGAAAAATTGACGCACGAACCAACTATGGTCTCAAGAGGAGGCTAGTCAAAGTGTCCCGCCAATCACAGCCCCGGAGAACACCTCAGTAATGAGGGAACGTTTAGAGCAAATCGCGAGGAAACTAGATGATATCCCTAAACGCAGCGACACAACAGGAATCTCACTGATAGATTCCATTAACTGGACCATGGAAGAATCTAGAATTCATTACCGCCTTATCCGAAATATCAGGGTTACAAGGCTTTGTGGTCGATCGAGAAAGCAAAACTGGACGTCTCCACAATTCCCAAAGACAGAGCTCACGAGCTAAGAAGACAGATTCGCAGAATAGTGACAGAAGAGCTCAATGCACGATGCAACTCGACGGAGACGTTCATAAGGATGCTCAGACGGCTATCTCCCCAGGTGGAGAAAACCGTTCTGATAGAAATATATGCATGGAGAGATACGTCTAGAGTGGTAGAATTTGCATCCATCAAATTCACTATGTCAAACAAACGTAACGACAGGCTGAACGTGTTTCAATATCATTTGAAAGCGCGGGGAAAGGAGTTCACCCGTGCGGTCGACGCACTTATAGGAGATGCGATCCAAACCAGCATGGACCCCCAGGAGGAAAAAAGAAATAGGGCAGAATGGAAGGAGGAGAAGACGGAGGAGCAGAGGAGGACGCAGGATACGCTGTGTTTAAGGTGCAATGGCAGAGGTCATAGGTTGACGGATTGCACAAGGGAAAGAAGATGTTACAATGCGACAGAGTCGGGCACGAAATGAGGGATTGCTACAGGAAGAGAGAAAGAAGACAGGGGTAAGTATGGGTCATGGGAGAGACACGATTGTCAGGGTTGAACATTTGTAAAGAGTAGCGTAGTAAGTTTTATTTGTCAGGGGTAGGTTTTTTATTTATTTTAAAGAAGACAGTGGTTTAATAGGGAGAGGAAGTTTGTTTTGGGGTAGTGATTTAGTTTAAGCATTTAACCAAATAATAGTTTAACCCTTTAAGGTATTTTAGGTGTAGTTACTGCTTCAAGAGAGAGAAATAAGAGTAATAAGTACCTTAGAATAAGGGGAGGGAGGAGCGAGAGGTCAATGAGTTAATGAGGAGAATTGGGGAAATTATTATCAAGGAATGGAACAGAAACCAAAATGTTTTCATTAACGCCCTAGAAACAGTTTAAAAAAGACTGTGGTGGGTATTCCGCGTCCATCGGTCGGTGAGCAAAGGTTCTCCAATGCAGAAATTAAAATTAAAATTTCATAAGGCCATACTTAGAATTCTTGTATGTAGATATTAAGATGTAGTTTCATTTGTTAAACAATTCATTACTTCTATTATAAATTGTAACATCGCAGTTTCATTTGGTCATCTTATCAAATGACGAGTGAAATCTAAAATAAAATAAAATATAAAATACTAAATAAAATTATACAAAAATTTACAAAGTATTAAAGAAAAAATAACAATCATCAAAGGAAGGAATCTCCTGGAGAGAGCATTATTGTGGTCTATAGTTAGGGGAGCTGTGCTCTTGACATTTTCTCAAGACATAGTCAAGACCAGTCGGGCTTAAACATAGGGGGAGTTGACAATGGTTGACTCAGGAGAGCAGGAACTGGCTGTGTTGTAGCCAGGGTCAACACGGGTTGATCCAACACGAGTGGGTTCGTGTCAACAACAATCGGGCTCAGGTAGAGCGAGAATGAACTAGAGTGGATTTGGGCCTGATATAAGGACGGTCAGCGAGGGCTGAAAGTGTTACCTTACAAGACATATTTATATGGTACGAAATTTGGGGATTTTTGGAAAAAAACCCCATATTTTCGTACTACCAAAATTGTGGCCGCCATTCCAAAATCCCACACATTAATTTGTATGTAATTGGCTTAAATAGGGCTAATTTGAGGTGAATTTGTCAAATAAGTTGTTTTACGTGTTTTGTGAGACAAGGATACGCATTTCTCAGGTAAATAGAAAGTTACTTAGTATAAAAATCGCCGATACCCTCTGGAGGGTTAGAAGTCAAACTTAGTCTCACATTCAGTAGGGGAGACTTAATTGACAAGCTCAAACCCCTGTTGAGGGAGGCATACACCTGGGACTACACCGGTGAGCAGACTCAAGGTGAAAGAGACGACGATGAAGACGATTTAAAGAAGAGAATGATTTTTAATTAATTTAGTTTTTCACGATTTAAAAAAATTCCATCAAAAACTGATTTTGATTTCTCTGAAATAATTTAGCGTGAAAATGCGACAATTTAATTTGGGGTACGAAATTTGGGGATTTCTGAAAAAATCCCCATATTTTCGTTCCCCCATAATTCCGATCCCCAGAATTATGATCCACATAAATATGTCTTGTAAGGTACAAATAATTCAAACATAAGCTTAAAGTTTATAGAAATTTCACTCAACGAAGATATCTATAAGTATAAAAGAAGATCGTGAAGAGAATTCATAAAACATTGAATTTACAAGAAAAAGATTGCCATTAAATATTTGACACACTTTGTATTCTTTTTTCGCACACTTCATGTGGTAATTAA